ACGAACATGTGTTACTCAGAATTTACGCGTGCCTGCTGTCAAGCCGTAGTAGTAGTAGTAGTAGTAGTAGTAGTAGTAGTAGTAGTAGTAGTAGTAGTAGTAGTAGTAGTAGTAGTAGTAGTAGTAGTAGTAGTAGTAGTAGTAGTAGTAGTAGTAGTAGTAGTAGTAGTAGTAGTAGTAGTAGTAGTAGTAGTAGTAGTAGTAGTAGTAGTAGTAGTAGTAGTAGTAGTAGTAGTAGTAGTAGTAGTAGTAGTAGTAGTAGTAGTAGTAGTAGTAGTAGTAGTAGTAGTAGTAGTAGTAGTAGTAGTAGTAGTAGTAGTAGTAGTAGTAGTAGTAGTAGTAGTAGTAGTAGTAGTAGTAGTAGTAGTAGTAGTAGTAGTAGTAGTAGTAGTAGTAGTAGTAGTAGTAGTAGTAGTAGTAGTAGTAGTAGTAGTAGTAGTAGTAGTAGTAGTAGTAGTAGTAGTAGTAGTAGTAGTAGTAGTAGTAGTAGTAGTAGTAGTAGTAGTAGTAGTAGTAGTAGTAGTAGTAGTAGTAGTAGTAGTAGTAGTAGTAGTAGTAGTAGTAGTAGTAGTAGTAGTAGTAGTAGTAGTAGTAGTAGTAGTAGTAGTAGTAGTAGTAGTAGTAGTAGTAGTAGTAGTAGTAGTAGTAGTAGTAGTAGTAGTAGTAGTAGTAGTAGTAGTAGTAGTAGTAGTAGTAGTAGTAGTAGTAGTAGTAGTAGTAGTAGTAGTAGTAGTAGTAGTAGTAGTAGTAGTAGTAGTAGTAGTAGTAGTAGTAGTAGTAGTAGTAGTAGTAGTAGTAGTAGTAGTAGTAGTAGTAGTAGTAGTAGTAGTAGTAGTAGTAGTAGTAGTAGTAGTAGTAGTAGTAGTAGTAGTAGTAGTAGTAGTAGTAGTAGTAGTAGTAGTAGTAGTAGTAGTAGTAGTAGTAGTAGTAGTAGTAGTAGTAGTAGTAGTAGTAGTAGTAGTAGTAGTAGTAGTAGTAGTAGTAGTAGTAGTAGTAGTAGTAGTAGTAGTAGTAGTAGTAGTAGTAGTAGTAGTAGTAGTAGTAGTAGTAGTAGTAGTAGTAGTAGTAGTAGTAGTAGTAGTAGTAGTAGTAGTAGTAGTAGTAGTAGTAGTAGTAGTAGTAGTAGTAGTAGTAGTAGTAGTAGTAGTAGTAGTAGTAGTAGTAGTAGTAGTAGTAGTAGTAGTAGTAGTAGTAGTAGTAGTAGTAGTAGTAGTAGTAGTAGTAGTAGTAGTAGTAGTAGTAGTAGTAGTAGTAGTAGTAGTAGTAGTAGTAGTAGTAGTAGTAGTAGTAGTAGTAGTAGTAGTAGTAGTAGTAGTAGTAGTAGTAGTAGTAGTAGTAGTAGTAGTAGTAGTAGTAGTAGTAGTAGTAGTAGTAGTAGTAGTAGTAGTAGTAGTAGTAGTAGTAGTAGTAGTAGTAGTAGTAGTAGTAGTAGTAGTAGTAGTAGTAGTAGTAGTAGTAGTAGTAGTAGTAGTAGTAGTAGTAGTAGTAGTAGTAGTAGTAGTAGTAGTAGTAGTAGTAGTAGTAGTAGTAGTAGTAGTAGTAGTAGTAG